ACTGGTCAAGCATCACCTTAAGAGGTCTGCAAAAAGACATTGACGTGTTTACAGGTTCATCAGCAACAGGTCATTTTTAAAGAAACACAAGGTTCATGACTCACAGAGACAACCTCCTGCCTAAACGTGAGATTATACTAGAGCTGAACTACAAAGCAAAGCTACAGACTGAGTCATACCCAAACTTAGTATCATCTACTGAAACCCAGTTAGGAGAACTTGTGTTGGCTGTGGTGGTATTTATAAACCTGCACCGGTCACCAGTGATCAAGTCCTCATGCAGCAACATGGCACATTTCATAACAAAGAGAGAGGTCATTCATTCACGAGGATAGCTATTATCTGGAGGTAGAGCTAGGCGATAGAACGATAACGATATGTATCGCGATATAACTTTTACTCGATAGAGAAATTAAGCTATCGCGATAGACCTCGCCGCTCTTGTCCTCTTAAAAAAAAAAAAAAAAAAAAAAAAAAAAAAAAAAAAGCAGCCAATCCAAATTAAGTAGCGCAGAGCCGAACCAATCACAGCCGCAGCGTCACGTCCGTGACTTGTTACGTACAGCACAAGTGCCAAGCCGCACATGTGTGTTTGTTTGGGAAGCAGCCAGCCGAGCGTAATGGAGGAAATGAGTGTGCCGACTAGAAAAATCAACCGAGCGTGACCGAAGGACCGAAGAGAACAGATGATGGTTCCAAGCCGGAGAGATTGTCGAACGGAAGAGCCATAGAAGTTCCGTAGTGTGAAGGTATTTCGGCTATTTCAAGTCTGACAAAAAACAGAGTAGCGTGCACTGTAAATTGTGCCGAAAGCAAGTCTGGAAATACAATAAACTGGTGCATGCGTCACACTGTGCGCCACGTTATTGTTTCGGTGAAATGAATTTCTACAATACTGTTAATTCTACTCTCTGCAGTGTTTAAATGCTTACATATACACACAGTTACTGTCCCTCCACACATACGACTCGGTTCTGCTTCTATGCCCCAGCTTTGTTTACTTTTTCCCACCGAGGCTTCTAGACTTCTGATTGGCCAACATTTCTGCACGGTTAGGAATCTAGCGCCACCTGCTGCTTTGGCATGTTCATAGCAGCGTTTTCCTTCATTTCTGCCTTTATGTGTGGACGGGATTATTTTTTAAAACGAAAACGGAAAATCTCCGTTTTCAAAAATACCCGTGTACGTGTGGACGTAGCCTCAGTCTCTGACTGGAAGCGCTAATTCGTCATTCGGCTTTTGTCAGACTAAAGTAACTGTTAAAACTGTTTGAAAAGCTCAGCTATACAACAAGGAGAGATTGAGAATTTCCTTTTAGTTCTCAGTTTATTTGATATTGACAAAAGTTAGTCAGTTTTGTCTGTTCTTCTGTAAAACAAACTAAGATTTATTTTTAGAATTAATATTTTGTTTCTAAGTGGAATTGACAATTTAGTCTGTTTCGTTTGTTCTATTTTGAAACTTAAACGCTTTAGCGGCTGCCTTTTGTGTAGTTTGCAATATTTGCCTTTATTTATCTGAAAAAGTCTCATGTTCCTTAAGTACATCTACCCTGTTGAACTTATTATGGGAAATAAATATTTAAATAAAAACAAGCTGCTGATTATTTCACATTTTACTTGTGAGCAACGGCACATTTAAATCTTACAAATATAGTTATTTGGCTTATATCGTGATAGATATCGTTATCGCCTGAAATGAAAAAAACATATCGTGATATGAAAAAATCTCATATCGCCCAGCTCTATCTGGAGGGATTTTTTTTTTGGTCCATCTAAAATGTAACAAGAAAACCCACACAAAGACATTAAGACAAAAGAGGCGACTGACTGTTCAGCTCATCTTTAAGAAACTTAACAGCAGTTTAACCTGGGATTCGCCCTTTAATCACAAATCCCTCCATCACCCCTCCTCAGCTCCTTGGTAAAACACCAAACCTAGAGATCACATGGCCTTTAACACACTAACACACACACACACACACACACACACACCTCGTCTCCAGAGATGGTTATGTCCGGAGAGCCGCACTTCAAATTCTTTCCTCACTCAAGTTCATCTCTGGACATCAGCCCAAAAAAAGGCAACATTTCCACCCAATGAGTTTGCATTGAGGGGTTCATGCTAATTCCAGATTTCATTAAAGCAGACTACGAGCTTGAAGAAAGGTCAATTTACCAGCAGGATTAATTAATGTAAAAAAAAACAAACAAAAAAAACAAACAAAAAAAAAAAAAAACAACGTGCATGACTCACATACAGATAAAGCTGATGACCCATGCCTTAAAACCTGCTTTTAAAACTTTTAATCTGTGCAGTGGCCTAAGTCTTGGAGAACAAACACACCATGGGAGCAAGGTGGTGCATAAAGCAGTGCTCATAATTACTAAGACGAGACATGTGGACATGAGTAATGAAGTGACATCACAGGAGATCTATGCAAGTATAAAACATTTAATGTGAATATTTTTGTAAATCCTTACATCATGTAAACACTATCCACGCTAGTGCAAACAAGATAAACAAATGCTCGTTTCCACTAGCATTATCCTTTATTTCTTCAAATTAAAATACTCCAGGATGCAATACGTAGAGAGAGAAAAATAAAAAATATAGAGGGGCAACCACAGTTTCCCTCTTCAGAGGATGTTAGCTACATAGCTTCAATGTTTAATATGAAATAACCCGAAATGTAAACAGCACAAAATGCTGTCAATTAAAAAAAATAAATTGGATAAATAAATACTCCACTATGGTACATTACAAATCAAAGAGAAATGGTCTGCTTTGATGACAGAGTTTTTCTGCTTCCCTGTGGCTCATCATGTAAAACACATCACCCTCTTTTACCTGAATCTATAAAGTCGCTGTAAAGGGAAGAAGGAGACTTCATTTTCTGAGATCAGCAGCAGACTTCCCAGTTTGAGTGTTAATAAACATGTGGAAATTATCTGACTCTGTAATATGTTCAACAGCATGTTCTAACTTGTGAACGAAGGTCAGGTTAAGGTTGATCTTTTTAAACCAAATACTTCTGCCCCTCTCCATTAGCCTATCACAGCAGTTGCGCCATCACGCAAAAGGCGACAAACGACTGCAGGATGTTGCAGAGAACAGTCCTGGTGCAGAGCCGCAACTCAACAAGAAGAAAGAAGAAGCTGCACAAATCACCTTTGGAGAGAACTCTGATGTCAACACAGAGGCAACTGGTTAGCACACAATATTTCTGATGTTTTCTGCAACTCTCTGGATCCAGAGATCCAGCGTTACAGTTTGGCTTAATGAAAAGCTGGAATGGAACAGATCCTGATCATCTCACCCCAGCAGCCTCACAAGCACTGAAAGTGAGATCAGTTTCTGATTGGACTGATGTTTGCACTGTTGACTGTTTCAAGACACTGCAAAAATCCTGGGGGGGGGGGGATAAAAGTTTATTTTCCAGTGGGAATGAAAAATTATTTATCAGAGGCAGAAACATGCAGTCAGAAAGGGGAAATCCCCCAAACCGTTCACCCTGCTTATTTCCACCAAAAAGTAAAACACTTAACTACAATGTTCTTGGTACAAAATAAGCAAGATATCTTTATAAAAGTGTCACTGTAAAAGCTAACAGTATACCCGTAATCACTTGATCCAATAAGCACAAAATAAATTAAAATAAATGTACTTGTTTAATGGTAAAAGCTACCTCTGAAGCAACAGAAACAAATTCATAAATTACACACCAGGTTCTTTGTTATTTACGTTTTAATTCTAGTCTAGCTTTTGCACACCTCACTGGACTTAACCTGGTCACAACTTTCAGTAAGCTTACTGCACCAACAAGCAACCTACTTCCATCACTGGATCCATGGTGGTTTATAAAGCTTTTAAATCAGGCTTTAAACCCCATTTGGACTGAAACTACCTCACACCGCCTAAAACCCATCAAGATGAGGTGCCATTTTCAGTTTATCGGCTGTGGAAGTACAGATGCTAGTGAAAGTAGCTACCCCAGTTAGCGGGCAAATGACTAGCTTGGCACGGTTAACATCCCGGTGTAGCAAAAGCGCTAACGACACAGGCGTTTCCGATTAACTATACACAAAACAGCATAAAATTATGAGGCCCATAATTTACCACTGACGCCGTTTCTCAGGTCAGTTAATGAATGAATTAACTTCAGCTAAAGCCCCACACAGCTAACGACATTTATCTTAGCATGCTAAAGTACGTTAGCAGACACTCCGCTGGGCTAATACTGCGCTGTTACCATTCATTCTTTCCTGGCAATTAAACTAATATGCCCACTATTAATGAGGGACTGCATTTTTTAAGTCAGAGTGACAAGCAAACATTGTTTCGCAATCGTAACATTAGCCTGTATCTGAATGACGTTGTATCTAAAGCTAGTTAGCAAGGTAGCTTCTGCTTCCTCTCCAGAGAGTAGCCACAGTCAAAGAGGAGGGTTTATCAACAAAACGACTTTTACTGCTAACCAGGTAGCAGCCATCTATTGCTGGGTTCATTCTGCACGAACACCATTTATATTAAGCTCCAAACACACTAAATAGGATCCGACAATAATCAATTGACCACACAGACACTTGTCTGGCTTGATTGTATTTACAACATAAAACCGAGCCAATGTTTCAACCCGAAAAATGCAGCAGTACTGCAATTAGACTGCACCTACAGACTCAGGCTAGTTTATGGAGGCATAAAGTAGAATTAGCCCTGTAAATTAGGTGTTTGACTCTGCTGCTTCTTGCCACTTATACTCAGACAAGTGTATGCATAGTTAGCGCGGTTTACCAGTTAAACAGCCTCAGGAGGAAGCCAACGGATTCATCCCTTCTCTGCGTCGAGAAGGACGAGTATGCTAGGTAGGTAAACAACGGGATGAGAATGGCTTCCATTTGACAGGTGTACCAGGGTAAGCTTTTGCTAGCAGCCAGTCGATATTTATGTCTAATGGTACCGGCTGCTGACATAAACACACACGGCGAGCTAACACAAACCTGGTGGAGGGCGGTGAGACCGTCTACATTGGCGTAGTTGATGTCAGCGCCCCGGTCAAGCATTCGGAGCACCTCCTCGGTATCGCCGCTCGAACAGGCGGCCAGAAACACGGCGCCATCATCGAACTTCACCTTCGTCTTTTTCTTTTTCAAAACAGGAGGCTCCTGGTCCGTTTCCGAGCCAAGCCATCGCTTTAACTGTTCATTCCGCTTCTGCTTGGCGTCCGCCATCTTCATCCCCCTCCTGTCTCGGGCTTCTTATCTTTCGCCGAGAGAGGATATACTTTATAGTGCCACTATCCCACAGCGCAGTGGGGCGTGGGAAGGGAGGGCTGGGGAGGAGGGGGAACTGAGAGAGAGAGAGAGAGAGAGAGCGCGTCTGGATTCCCGTAACCTCGCGAGAACTGAAGCCCAGGAACTGCAGCATAACGTCATCATCAGCAGATTATAAGACAGAGTGAGTGAGCGAGCAAGCAGGGTAATCCTTATAGACTGTGCACACCAAATAAGACAAAATTACTTAAAAATATTGCATAACCTTTTGCGGGGTGTCAAGAAGTTTCAAAGAGAGGCTCTCTAAGGTGTAGTAGCTAATACTTTTTGACCACCTCTAGGCTATTGTTTGCTGTGATATAGCTGGGAACACAGAAGTAACTTAAAACCATATGTCAGTGAATGTACCTGCAGCAGAAAACAGTGTTATCTGTAAGAACTACCAAATCTTCCCACCTTCTTCGTGCCATTGGTGAAGGAAAGGAAAAGGAGGTCTGAAACAGGGAGTTTCCAGGATTCTTTCAGTGGGGTGGCACATGCACCCACAACATCTTGCTTTTGTCAATACATCATAGACATAAGACATAATCTCTCCAGTGTGTCCTGTCTTTTTTAATGTTGTATTATAACTAGCAATCATATCAATTAACTTGTGATTTACAGACGTCACCCTTTCTTTTCATTTGAGGAAGCAGAAAGGATTTTATTATGCTATCTAAACAAACATACTCTTTGCAGATGTTTTCCACTTCTTGTGGATGGTTCTTTTAAAGCATTTTGTACTAAAGGTACTTCACAAGGTGAGCCAAAACTTTCAGGCACACCTGTCTTCTCATACTCAGGAAAGAGCACGTATCTCATCTGAAATACCATCAGTTCTCCTTTAAATACATAATATATATTTAAATATTTAATGTCAGATGAATTTAATTAGTTTTAGTTTTTGCCACACAAGAAAGCAAAAGTTCTTGGCCACCTACACATTACACTTTCAGGAACTGCCTATCCTTGGAAACCTATGAATACCATGAATTTCTTGGTGCACATTGTGCTAACATTAATGCCACAGGAGGTATGCAACTCTGCACTATGCGCCACTGCAGTTGTAACTTTTCACTGATATGACTTATACTTGATCACACAAAATTCAGTAAATCTTTGCAATGACCTGTTCTTGCACAAATGTCGTAAAAGCAGTCAGAATTGCTTTATACACCTGTGGCAATGGGACTGAGCACATCTGAATTCAAAAGAGGTGTGGCCCAGTACATGTGTCCATATAGAGTAGTTGCACAACCAGATGAATGACCTCTTTTTAGCTCCAAAAAGACATACAAGGTACTTTCCAAACTGTAACCTCCACAGAGCCATGTGTTCCAACGTCAGTGCCCTTCTCCATCACTGCTGGTTACTGCTATTGCGGCAGAAGCGCTAAACTACAGCTAACCAAATTATTAACTTCAGCTTGTGCTGCAATAACTTACATTGCGGCTTTATGGCATCATGGGTGTTTACTTTTTTGTTACCGAACTTTCTGACTTGATTTAAATAATGGTTGCAGAAGTGTATCAGCTCAGAGGGCTCAATTCACATTTTTAGGCAGGCCTGAACCCCCAAAATCTATCAATAATGGAGAGGGCAAATGGCATTTTAGTTGTCATTTTTAACATTGCCAATCGGTGACAATGTAACGACATTGCCCTGTGGCTACAAAATACCCGGACCTAATGGAGACTGTTGCATGAAAATTAAAGAATATCATAAATACATTGTATTCTAGTAGCATCACTATGAAGTTATAGCAGAGTCTTGGGTCTGTTATTTATTTTTGTCCTGTATTTGTGCTGAATTAGTGTTGATTGAGTCTTTTCATGTTGTCTTACAATCAGCGGCAACTCAAACGAACCATCAATTGTACAAAGTCATGTGTTTTTTTATTTTATTTCAGGAAGTAAAATGATTTTATTGTTCTAATTAAACAGACTGTCTCGGTGGAGGTGTTTCCCCTTTCTTCTGGGTGGTTCTTTCAAAACATTTGGTGCCAAAGCCATCCCAGGGGCGTGGAAAGATTTAAGGCACACTTTTCTTATCTGCAGTTATCTGTACATCATGTAAAATATCATCACTTCTGTATGTATACTGATATAGTCAGTTCATTCATTTATTACCTCTTTGTGCAACTGTGGTAATAACATTTGGCTGACACAAAATCTCTTGATAGCTGGTAATTATATACTGCTGGGAAGCCTTATCTATAATATTACAGTATAATATTAATATATTAGCAGCTTACTACTACTACTAATAATAACATAAGGAAAAAAAATGTAACATACTCCCAGCAATTACCCTGCTGGATAAGGAACTTGCCTTAGTATTATATAACTGGAACAGAGAGTAGTGTCCCAGTGGAAAGCATTTGTGCCCTTTAGCGTATAAGTGGTACAATAAAGGTACTTTATTCTCGTATTTTTGAAAGACATTTTGAAATTGGGAAAGTAAGGAAAAACACAGGAAAATCATGTCGTTGAATCAAGGCAGCCAAATGCATGCATTTAGATGCACTCACTCACTTATATGTCCCACTATATGCCACCCTGTAAATCTGCTACCTACACCGACTCAGAGTTTTTCCTGTGCTCCATCCAGCTCCCCATATGCTTCTGCACTTTATTTTTTAATGGATCGATTTACAACATTTTCCATCTTCATATGTATTTTCCTCTGCCAAAGACCTTTACCCTGTTTTAAAAACAGTTTTAATTACTTTTTTCTTTCTGTCACACTGTGACTCTCTTCAGTTTATGTATTTGTGTACAAAGATCTTTTTTTTTAATGCTTCATTATCAACGTTGTGGTTCAAATGAACTTTTACAGACGTGGCTATTTTCATTTCAGGAAGTGGAAGGAATTTTGTCATGCTAACTAAACAAACTCTCATTTGGCGGTATTTCCCCCTTTCTTCCACCCAGATTCGCGAAACGGCTTTTCCAACGATGTAACGCGTTTAGTTTCCATGTCATAAAAAAGACATCGCTCCCCAAAGGGAAATGGAAGCCGTCTTATTACAGAGTACCTGCAATGATTTGATGGGGAACACTTGAAGTGTTAGTAGACTTAAGCACCAGGGTGGTCCAGTTCAATCTGGAGTGAAAACAGGGTGGTACATAAAGTGCATGTGATTTTTATTTTGTTTGGTTTTTTTTGGCACCCTCATGTGTTATTATTGGCAGACATTCATGTGTACTCAGCAGGGGGTGCGGTGTTGCCATCAAGTTGTAGGTATGAAGCATGCAGTCGCTCTTGTTTTCTTTACAGCAAGGTGTCACTTAATGATGTTTTTTTTTTGTTTAAAGACATTAAAAATAAGAAAGATAATCTCTGTGCGTAATTAGGTGCCCCCCTCCAACTGAACTTGAAGTTGACATCCTGAATAACAATCTGTTCAAGCAAAATCATGAACCAAAACATTTATACAACTGCCACCGTGAGCCATTGTGTGGAGTGTGTACACGTAAACCCAATATTATTTCATTTCAGAAGCATTTACTGCCTAAAAGCACAGTAAACCGGACTTACAAGACACTCAGCTCAGCTGTTACACAAATGTCATGGGAAATCTGCACGGTTCTAATGAGTCAGAGCGATATGGAACACCAACAGCGTCAGCGTCAGGAAGTTGCTGGCCACTGGCTTCAGTCTGCTGATACCAGGAGGGTTGCAGGGAAAGTGATGTGCAAGCTGCTGTTTGGCAGGGAAAGCCGACCTCACAGTGACTGACAGAACAAGGCGAGCGCTGTGGGTCACTTCCAGCTCTGAATGTAATAAGAGTCTTGTGTGTAGGTGTTTGTGTATCTGTGTGATACATCAGCGAGTTTATGAGCTCCAGACAGCACAAACAGCAAAAAAATGTGCTTACTTGGAGGTTTTGGTTCAGTTGCTTGAAAAGATTGTTTCGTAAGATTAATTTTTCCAGTCCCTGTCAACATATGAACACCAGGCTCTGAATATGTGACGGGGTGGAGTCCGCATGTTCTCCAGGTTCCCCCACAGTCAGAAACATACATGTTAGCTTAACTGGCATTTCTAAGTTGGTCATAGGTGTGGATGGCATCCTGTGTCTATGTTAGCCCTGTGATAGACTGGCAATCTGTCCAGGGTGTACCCATGACAGCTGGGCTAGGTTCCAGCTACTACTTACTACTACGACCAAAATGGATGTAGGTTTGGTTGTGCTTGTCTTGCCAAACATGTTTAAATTTGTATTGAAACCAAAACAATGGAAAAGCATCAATTGATTTGAACTTCTTATAAGTGCCATGCATCTGACCGCTACAGTCTACTTTTTTTTTTCTTTTTTCAATGTAGGGAAATGTATTTAATGAGTGTTGTGAACTGAAAATGTGTATGTAATGTGTGAAACTGATGAAATAATAATAGGATTCCTCTTTTGTGCTGCTTTGATAGCTCTTCGCTGTAGCCAGTGTCGGTCGTTCAGGGATGTTCTTGCCATTAGTCTCTTTTTTTTACAGTCTACTTAAAGTCTACAGCGTCAGCTACACTGTTAGGGGGCCCCATGTCGCGCTGAAGGCCTGGAAACTGTTCAATGTATATCCACATCCTTCACTTAACACCACTAAATATCTTGAATGCATCCTGTTTATGTATCCTACTATACCCCCTCCCTCCCAGCAGCTGTATTTATGTCAGTAATGCCAGTGACACAGAGCGCTTATTGACTAACAGTAAAATGACTTTTGCCACAGTGTCGGCTGATCATAATTAATGGGATGTGAGAGGAGTCGTAAATCCTTTATTGAGACAAAAATCATTTGTCAGCATTACCTTTCACATGCAGATGTGACTAAAAGGGCTGTCTCATTGTATATTTGCCAGGCAAACTCTTGTCTTTCATTACTCTTCACTTTGATCTCCTATGACTGTTTGCTTCTGTTTCTGCTCCTTGAGGGGATAAAACTGTCTGGGAGTGATTCAAGTGTATTGATGCCACAAAATTACAATGGTGCACTCTCACTGTTTGTCTCTGGCCACTGAGACGTGCATGATTAAAACCCGGCG